CTTCACCAGAGACAGAGCGGGGAGCAGAGCAGGCAGATCAACGAAGTACACTGCTGAGGGGAGCAGCGGGCAGGCCAGGAGAGGAGAGGTCTGCCGCGCCATGTGGTCACCTCCGGGGCAGGTGGGAATCGAATTCATGTGGAAGTGACTTCAGCTTCTCAGTGCAGCGCTTTAACCCGCTGCGCCACCAGGGAGGGCCCAATGCTGTGTGACTTTTAAGGCAGTTTGGTTTCTTTTGCTTCTTGGATTTTGGGGGGCTGAGCCACCAGCTTGGTAATCCAACTAACTCAAAGCTCCCATACTGTGAGGAAACAAAGACGTGGGCAGATCAAGTACAGGCTTTTGGGGTGTCAGCCCCAGCTGAACTTCACCAATACTACCAACTGCTAACCATATGTAAGAGCAAGCATGGATGTCTCATCCAATCAAGGCTTCAGCTACTAAGGTCCAGGTGCAAAATATGACTACAACAGTATGAACTTCCAGGTGAGAACTTACAAGTTTTCTAAATTCCTGACCTATGGAATACTTGAGCATAATAACGTAATTGTTTTGAACCATTAAGTTCTGGGGGACATTTATGCAATATTACTAAATTGGACAATGGTATTCAGCCTTACTAAATGTGTCCAAAATCTTTGTGTGGCTGCTTTGTAGTTCTTTTGAAATCCTGCCTAAGTCATCCACTCTCTAATCATCTGCAGGTGGTCAGAATAGGTAACGTTCTCTGTACCTCTCATCTGAAAACAAATCCAAGTTCTGACCTACAGGGACTACCTCTATAGCTCTTGAAGGACACAAATGCTATTTCTAGAGCTAAATGTAGACAAGCAACATTAGTAGATAAGGTAGCCATCTGATTTTCCACTAAACATAGCCACACTAGACTGACTCACTTTAAATCTAGCTCTTTAGAGATGAAAAGTCATTATTACCTTTGTCACTTTTCTGAACAAACAGCAATTGTAGATTTTAATAATTCATACATTTTCAGATTCTCCTTTTGTAGGTTTTCAAAATTAAAGCAGTCAATTCTTCGTTCCGTTGTTAATGCCAGCGTACATACATCACTGCATAACATTTTTGTTTTGTTTCAGTGTAGGTTTTCTTTTTATATCCAGTTCTTATTTAGATATGAGTTGAATGCTAATACATTTCAATTTATTTTTGCAACATCAAAACTTATTAACAAAAAATATTAGCTATTTTTATCATTTTTTTTGAGGTCAAATTATAAATGACGATTTGATACACATATGCACTACCATCACGTCACATGTCCTTTCTTTTTTTGAGAATAGTTAAGTTCTACTCTCATGGTGCATTTCAATTATATAATACAGTGTTATCCACCAGTCATGCTATTGTATATAAGGCCTTCAGATGCTATTCATCAAGAGTTCTTTCATGAAGAGTTTGCACTTTTTGCCAAACCTTATGTCTACCCTAACCACTTCTCTATCCTGTTTTTGAGTCCAAGTTTTTCTTTTTTCAGATTCCACATAGAAGTGAAAATTTAAAGGAAAGCAAAGATTTTTATAATCTTCAAAGGCTTTTCAGTAGAAAGTTTAAGGGACATTATATAAGATCCAAGTGTGCAAATAAATGAAAACAAATCATATTGTAAGGAATTTATACTCCAAATATTATCTGTGCCTTATGTTGAATTCCATAAAATGCAAGGATTATTTTATCTGAGCCATGGAGTTTGGCATGAGTAGTAAACAATGGTTTTAATCACTAGGTTCACATAACTCTAAGAATCTGCTTAACACTATGGATGCTTTGCTTTAGGATAATAGACATCTGCACCCAAAATTTTTTGTAATTAAAATAGAAAACAATGGGGCCCACCCTAGTGGTGCAGCCGATTAAAGCACAGCACTACAAATCTAGCCACAACCGTTTCAGATGGCGTTCCAGCCCTGGCCAGGGAGCTCACCCACATAGCACAGCAGACCTCTCCTGTCACACTCACTGCTCCCATCAGCAGTGTACTTCCTCGATCTGCCTGTTCTGCTCCCCACTCTGGTGAATCCTGTCATAACCCTGCACATCTGGCCTGTACCCCAGTTCTGTATGTATATGTAAAAGTAAATCTTTTCTTAAAAAAAAAAAAAAAAGACAATGGACTCTCTAAAACATAGACGTGAACAACCTAGTATTTTCAAACTCCAGGTTAAAAACCTCCATTGCAAAAGCTAAGAAATGACATACAATGACATAAAATGGGAAAGGATTTTAATTTGTGGAATAAACTATAGGTGCCTGTATATATTTCCTAACTCAAGAGGAGCATTCTGTTCAGCACACAAGCAGTTTCAGGATAAAAGCACATACTGTTTTGGAAAAGGCTCCCTATCTGGCCAGCAAGGTCAGTCATGTCAGTAATGAGATAATGGAGATATCTCCAATAATGCAGATAATGGAAATAGCAGAGATCAGAATCAACGCTGTCTCACATTAAACTGAAATTATAATACAAATTATATAACTTTTAAAATTATTGATGCCTGTATCCATCAGATGAATTGATCAAAAAAGTGAAAACTTACTTTTTCCCCCCAAAAATAGTAAGTGCAAATTTTATAACTTGGTTAAAAATAAATGTTAAGGCCCTCCCTTGTGGCACAGTGGGTTAAAGCACAGCACTAAAAAGCTAAAGCCATTTCAGCTTGAGTTTGATCCCCACCCTGGAGGTGTTCACATGGCGTGGCAGACCTCTCCTGACCCGCCCGCTGCTCCCCTCAGCAGTGTACTTCGTCGATCTGCCTGTTCTGTTCCCTAATCTGTCTGGTGAAACCTCTCGCTGC